CCCCGCTCTCCCCAAGCTTTCACGCACGCACGCACGCAGCTCCACGAGGGGAGCCACGAAAATAGTAATAGGGTAAGGTAAGGGGTTGTAAACCAGGTGAGACTTTGCAGCCGAGGTTGAGATGGGAGTGGCGATACTTTTCAAAGGGGAAGGACGGGCGCCACCCCGGCCCGGCCGCGGCCCGCTTCACGCCTTTGATGTCTGGCGCTGGACTGGACCGGGGAGTAATGGAACATGATGAAAGGGGGCAAGAGACCGGCAGCAGCCCTGGCGAAACTCATTCCGCGAGCGTCGCGCGCTTGCTACTTCTTTTCCTTTCTTTCTTTCCGGCCAAGCCCGCCTCTCCCTTCCCTCCCCAACACACCTACAACTACTCGTGTTGCCATGCCGAGATTAAATGAAAGGAATCCTCCCCACCACCAGCCCCACAGATGGCCCGAGAGAGGGGCGCAAAGAAACAAAAAGTGTTTAGAGATTATTTTTTTAATTTACAGCACCATTCGCAAACGTATTATTACATTAAATTAAATGGAGAACAGACTAGTCGATGGCCAGCGCAAGGAGCTTTCATGCTAATCCCTTGGAACGGAGCGCAGGAAAGAAACGTTTCCGGCAGAGGGGCATTTAACGGATCGCGGCGTGAAAAGCTCGGGATGCTTTCGGTTTGTCTGGAGCGCGCAAGTGTCGGGAGGGAGGACGGAAACGCGAGGCTTCTGCGGTCTGACGTGTTTGTTTGGGGCGGCGGGAGGCGGGGGGAGGGCGCCACTGGGGTGAGTGGGATTGGGGCCCCGGCGCCCGCGCCCGCCCCCCGCCCCCCCGCGCCCACACCCCACCAAGAGGCTTTGGAGCCGGCGGGACCGCAGGCGGCGGTCGGCCCGAGCGGAGTTTGAAATACCAAACCCAAACGTAATCCACAGAAATGCAAACAACAAGCTGCCGCTTCCAGGTCCGACGCCCCCGCGGTCGTATCTCGGAAGACGAGAGAGAAGCAGAAGCCGCGGGAGGCGGGGGAGGTTCGCGTGGCCGATTGGCCGATGATTCAGATAACGGCTGAAACAGGAGGTGCACCACACAAGTCCACAGGGCGCCCAGGGACTGAGTGAGGTGGGGTGAGGCTGAGGGAGCCGGGCTGGGTGGAGCGGTGGAGCTGCTGCTGGGTGGCGAGAGAAGAGGCGGAGCGCCTGGGAGGTATGCAGCCGCCGCGCAATGGTGCGTGCGGTGTGCCCGCCCGCACGGCGCTCCCCGCTCCGCAGCGCCAGGCGGGCGCCACTAGGGCCCTGCGCGCTGCGCTGACGGGGCGGGGCCGGGGCCGGGGCGGGG